GATGCTTTTGTATGGTTTTGCCCAGGTACTCCCATGCCACCATATATATGTGCCAATGAGAATACAAAAAACTTGTTCCTCTACGCAAATTTGATATATATACACATTTGAAAAGCACCCTAAGATCTTTGTGTGGATGTTGTTTTATAAAATGATGCTACACAGTTGACCAAAATAGTCAGTACAAAGCAGCATTTTGGCATTGTAAAAAGAACAAAAAAATGCACCAATTTACAGGTGAGAAGGAATCCTGTTATTTTAAGGGTAATATTAGTATAAAGTTAGTGAATTAATAAATTTCAAACTGGATGACTTATGCTCTCAGAAGATCGATTATCCAAGACAAGTGATTCAGAAATAGATACTGTAGCATTGTTACTGTTTTAATCAGATGGCTATTGCTGTTACAAGTAACCCTACAAATTATGCATGAGGATGTTCTGCACAGGCCAAAATTACTGACTTGATGTTTTGTTTTTCATTTTTGGTGGATGGTATAGCTAGCAACTGGGTGTGTAAAGCAGCTCTTAACATGGCCACTACAAATCTCAGCAGTGAACTTCAACAAGAAAAAATGAATATGGTATGTATTTCTTTGCATATGGGAACTATGAATGATGGTGTATGAAGCCTTATCACATATCCTATAACATTCATATAAATCAACTTTTCACCCCAGAATTCGTAGTAAATTGATGATTTGGGAAAACATTGATATGTGAAATACTCATCCCACCTTTGCTTGGGGTAGATAGAGTACCTTGGTAAAATTCCTTTTATAGAGACATCTAGTGTTGTATCAGTAAGAATCTAAATGCCTTAAAGGAGTTGTGCTTTATACATTTGGTTTTGGTTTAGCTTATTTTGAAAGGTTTTGAGAGAGAATGGAATCATAACTTTCATAAAGATAAGATTGTGTTTGAGCAAATAGCTTCAAATTGTTTTATCCTGATTTTACTGTTTGGTAATTTGGAATAATAATGCTTTCCACCTGTAGACCTCTCTGTAAGGCTATGCTTATTAGGTATTACTAACTGCATATGTTCTCGGTAGGCCATAACCATTAAAAATATTTGCTAGGTTCTACTCACGGAAGCTTTAAACTGTATCTTAATTTCAATAAATTTGCTTATTATCAGTTAGCTTAGCCTCCAGATGTAGAATCTGTAGTGGCACTCTGGTAATATCATGATTCTGAACATGAGGTAGTGAAGTAGTGAGGTTGCTAATAACTTTGTGTTCTGTCTGTCATAAAACGGGTATAGATGTTCTTGGCACTTCTATTCCTTTTCAGAAATATGCCCTCTGCTATTCAGCCCAAATCCACTTTGTTCAAGTCTCCATGTTACCAGTTGTGAATGTTACTGTTGTGAATGTTTCCAGAGTATGTTATTTAGACATCTCTGCCTCACAGAAGGAGAAGGTGAGAAGGAACTACTGAAGCACAAATGAAAGACAAGGAGTACACAGCTTTGCTAAGTTCCTCATCAAGTGTTTCATGAAAAGCAGTTATGAGAGGCTGCTAATCATAAATGTGTCTCTTTTTCTTTTCTCCCCCCCCCCCAACCCTTTTCTTTTGTTTTTGCTTTTTCCCTTTGGCTACAGCTTGTAAAGTGTTATCACGATACTGGTCTGAGCAGGCAAAACCACTACTGATGCCTACCTATGATTGGAAGATAACACAGGCCATAGACTGTGGAATGCTGACCTCACATTAGGTGAGTCTGTTGCTCACTTTCCCACCCCTGCCCAATTCCTGTGTTCCTGTCCTTTCTTTGTATCATTAAATTCATGTCAGAGTTCTGTGTTATTAGTTGCATGGAATCCAGTCTCACTTGACTGTACATACACTTTTCCCTAAAGAAGTTGGATGTTATCATCTATGTTAGATATTCATTATGCAAAGAAAGCATAGAACACAATTGCATTGTAACAGTTTTGAATTATTTTTAGTTGAAGTAATGAAAAAGAAGGTCTAGCAAGTTTGATGTTAACATTTCTTAGCTACAATTCCTAAACTGTTGAACAGACAATTATATTAGAAGCTATTATACGTGTATGTAATCAGTAAATATTCAGATGTTATAATTAAGAAATATACAAGAAAGTTATGCTGAACAGGTTATCATGCTAAAGAAGAACAGATGGAAAGCTTATCCAGCTTGCTGAGAAGACTCCAACCTCTTGGAGAAAAACTTTCTCCCATCGTAGTCAGCTTTTAAATGGGGTCTAGGAGAGCGGAGCCAGGCTCCCACCCTTCCAGTAGCACAGGAGAATTTTCTTCACCTGTGCTCCCAGGGCTAACTCATTGCTCGCCTCAGGTGGTCAATCAGAGGTTCAAGCCGTGATTCAGCAGTTCTCATACAATATGAATATGCATTTTTATTCATAAGTGAATTGTACTGAGACAAGTGAATGTCTTAAGAGCAATGCGTGAGGAGTAGATTCCATTCTTTTACTTCTGTTCAGTTGTAAATGTACAGGGCATGGATCAAATAACTATTGACGTAGAAAATAACACATGTCAAACAAGGACTTGAAACAGTGCTTTGAGGTCAGTAACCTGTGTGCTTAGAACTTTGATCACAGTGGTAGCAACCAAATGACATACTTTTGGTGGAGATACGGTCAAATATAAACAGGTAGCTTTACGCTCAGTGTTACAAGCAGAACAGCAAAATGTTAGTGGGGTGAAAATGTGTATTTCTAATAAGCTTAAGGAGCTTCAACAAATAATGCTCATACTGATGAATTAATTTGCTGAAACTGCAAGGAATGGGCTTTTTGTGTTGTTTATTTATATTTAAATAATGAACAACGTCAGACAACAAAGCCTCATTGGATTCTGCTTTCAACAAGCAGCATGAAAGAGGAGTCTTCCCAAGGCCTTGCTGTATCAAGTGGAAGACAGCATGTTTTGTCTGATGAAATGTAAGTTTAACTGCTAATCAGTCAATCCAAAGCATTGCTAGATTAATAGTCAAACAGCTGTGAATACTATTTCTGCTAGGTTAATAGCCAGCTTGCTGAGAATAGATTTTCTGGGGAACTGAAGCAGCTTGTTGGTTCTGTGATTGGCTGAAATTAAGGGGAATTCTTTTTAAGAAAATTAAGATATATACTTCTGATGTTTTTCTGACATAGATCTTCCAGATTTTCATTTTGCTGTCAAAGCAAATGGGTTAAAAGTCTAAGAATGACTGTGGAAGGCTACTATTAAATTTCACAGTTGAGAGGGCATGGGTATTTTTGTTTTGACTTTTTGTCCAGCTGATCCAAGTAGTTGTTTTAGTTTAGAAGTGAGAGCTGTCTTTTCTCTTACTTTTTGTTTGTGATTGCTGCTGTTGTCTCTTTAAATGGGAGGGGAAAAGAGCAATTATTCAGTTTGTGAAATATCTGAAGATTTGCAGATACAAAGCACTCCTTAATTGCAAAGGACTTAAATTAGAGCTGTATTAAGTCATCTTTCCTTTATGTCAGTCCATGCCGTGGTCTGAATAAATCTGTTTGTAATCAAATTTAAACTTGATTGACGGATAGGGGTAGAAGATTTGGTATTTATTTTTTTTAACCACGGGCTGTATAATTCACTGAAACTAGAGCTCCAGGCTAATTTCTCCCTGTAGGAAAGAGGTACCATTTAAGTTTTGTTGTTGTTGTTAGTAAGTGTTAATGAAATATTAATTAATTAAGTAGTCTTTGCTAATCCTGTGAAAAACAGTCATGATATGTCAGTTCAGTGCTGTTAGCTCTTGTATCAAAATGATATTTAATCCCCTCTAAACGTGAATTTGCTAGTTTATGTATTTTGGGAGGATTAAGGTCTGAAAACTGGCATAATAAGGCTAGAAATCAGGCAGGTTTTCTTCCACTAGAATTTCAGGTCAGAAATATCTATTTCACCTTACATTAGACTTGTTTTACACTTGTGAATGGAGACCAGATTGTGTAATCTGTGGGGGTTCTCGTCCTGGTAACTGTTGACCACTGATGCCTCATAATCACTGCAGCAGTATTTTCTCCATATCTTTGCTTTATGGGGTAGCTGTGCATTCATTCTGGCTTGTGTACTATGCTTTTCCCCTCTTCCTTCCTTGTAAGGGGTAATTGAATGAAAACTCACATCTCTTCTGATATTTTAAATAAGTTTTATAAACGGAGACAAAACAAATCAATCGGTTCCTTCTCCTTTTAGAGCAATCAGAGAAAAACCATTGGAGATTGATATCTCAGGCCCATCAGTTCTGCTTTCAGTCAGTATACAGAGGTTTTGGGAACAAGCGAACAAAAAGATAAAATAAGTCCTTTTCTCCTGCTGTATGAGAGAGAAAAAATGCTTTTGTTTTCTCTTCCCATCTCTGAATAGGCTGGTGCCAAAACTAACTTTGTGGCTTCTTTATCTGGCTTCTGTGTTAAAACTAAGGACGGAAGCAACAAATTTGGATAGATTAAGGAATCTATTGGTAAAAAATGCATATTCATATTCATGGTGATGTTGGTAAGATTAAGGATTCTGATTTACCATTTGTGAGTCAAAAAGGATAATAATGTATGAGTGTCAAAGCTAGATGATCTTTGAGGTCCCTTCCAATCCAAGCCATTCTATGATTCTAGGATATTCGAAAATCTTTTGTGGCTTATGATTCTTGGCATATGTCTCTGACACTTTCAGATTAATTTTTTGATTCAGGGAATGTGTTTAGATGACCCATACGTCTCTTTGAATCTTATTTTCGTTAGACAAGTATGTGTATGTACAGTTATGCTATGTTTTATTACGCGAAAATAAATGTTTTGGTAGCACTAAGGTTCCTGCTGTGAAATGTAAATTGTTGCCTATGCAGGAATGACCCTGCAAGTTATTGTATTTTATTGTATCTATTTTTCAAAGAGTATCCAATTGGTAGACAGAAGTCTCTTTTTTTTTTTTTTTTTTCTTTTTTTTTTTTTCTTTGTATTTGTTTGTACATAGTTCTTATTGACCGTGTGAAAACCTGGAATTTCTAAATTGACTTCCAGGGGGAAAAAATCATTGCACACAACAGATTATTCATGGTATTATTTACTCTAAAATGTTAACAATTCCAGAAATATCAGAGGATATAACTGCAGCAAAACAACCCAGCCTTAGCATAATATTTAGTTGTTTCCCTCCTTTGTTACTAGGTAGCTAGAGCTTTTAGGGAGAAATTTGTCATTAATAGCACAGCTCCATCCTACACAAGAGTCTCTAGTTCTTTGCAAACATGAACTTTTAAAAGGTATTTTTAAAAGATTAGCATTTGAGCTTTGTTGTCTGTGGTTTTAGCTTAATCTCACAAGGACAAATTAAATTTTTTTTCAGCATCAAAGCATCGTAAGACTTTGATTTGTTTGTGTGAAGGAGAAGTCATGTTGTTGAGGTACTGAAGCTTTAACTCCAGACTTAGTTGTGATGTTTGGACTTAACTCTGTATTTAAATGATCATTAAGACACATATCTCCCCACTATTGAAGGTGGTTGCCAAAGGTGTGCTGTTTCCCTTTTGTAGTGATCCCTGTCTGTGAACTAATTTTGAAGAGCTGTTGAGCACTCTGTGCTCTTTCCCTCCTGAGCTGGAGAAGCAATCCAGTTGGAGGTATGTCTGGATAGAGTGTTTTAGAGAGGAGTTTGTTTGTTTTTCTTCCACCTGCAGGCATAGGTCTGGTCTCTTGTTTTAACTTGATCTATAATCCTTGATATCCACAGGAATTTCATGTCAGCATTGAAGCTCTGGGCATACAAATTAACGCAAGTGGAAAATCTTGCTGAGTACTGACAGGAGAACCAGTTTCTCCTTTTCATATCTGGCAGTGCTGGGTGAGCAATAAAGTCTTTTGTAATTGTTGGTTGTAATTGTCAACTATTCTGTTGTTGTATTTCAAAGAGCTTGTTTCGAAACTGTCACTTTTTGTATGGTACTTCATAATGCCATCATTAAAGAGCGCTGAGTTGAAAAAATCCACCGTGAAGATACTCAGCCAAGCAAAACCAGTATGTGTATGTACAGGAGGGTAATTGTCTGTGGGCAACAGTTGTGGAGCAAGGGCCATTGTTTCCCCTACCAAATGCTCACTACTTGTTGCAATCATTTTTTTTTAATGATTAGGAACAGTGTTTCTCAATCAGTGAGTTCTCAATTTATATGCTTTCCAATTCTGTGTGTTTAAGTTTGACTAAAATAAGTGCCAGTGTGTTGATCCAAATGCTTAGGGAGAGAGATTGTGGATTGACTGATGGGAGCAAAGAAGAGTGTATTTTTAGGTTTTTACATATATAATAGTTCAAATATACTACCTGATTTTGGCTTTTTTACAAGCTCTGCAAAATAGGGATCATAGCATTTTAAAAGATGATTCATCTCCAATGCCTACTTCATCATCACTGACTTGTTCTTCAAAGCAATAATCAAAAACTAGATTTTAAATCTTTACAGACTTAAGGAGTTTTATTTGAAATGTTTGAACTAAGGCACAGAAGGTTTTGTTTTCTATGTAAGATGGTCACCAACAGCTCCAACAAGGATCAGTTGAAAATGTGTAGAGGAAACACACCTATAAAGTAAGTTGTACTTGTCTAGCTGGGCATGGAGAAAAAGAGATATTAGCAGAGAAATCTTTAGAAAGTAGAGGTTGTAGGTTTTCTGTGACTACTTCATGCTTTTATCAGTTTGGTTGAAAGAGAGCAGCCACCAACTAACCTCATCTCAGGAATATCCTGAGCTGTGGAAACCATGTGGACCAGTGCAGAATCTGTCCATAGGAAGGGACAGACTGGTAAGGCCAGGCTCACCTATGTATTCTTCTGACTGTTACTCCTGTGTCTTAGCTGGTGTTGTTAGATATACAGGTCATGTCCTACTCAAGAAAGTTTTCCAGGCTGCATTCCTATTGCCTCACCTGGACAAGAGCTTGGGCACTTGGCTTAGAGGTCTATCTATGAGGTATCTGTCATTAGTGAAGTATAAGAACATGCCTCCTGAGCCTCTTCAGACCACCCAAGTTAGGTAGCTACTTAGAGACAGTGCCTTTCTTTGTTTTGCCCATGATGCAAGCGAAGGGGAAATGAGATCTGACTCTGCAGGGGAACAAAGCAACTCAAGAGTTATTAAAATGAGTAGTTTTTACTAAGTGTCACAACAGGCATAATTAAAAGGAGCTAAGATGTGGGTGGGGAGGGAAAGCACTAATGGTTTCAATGCAATCTGTCTTGGCCTCAATCTGGCAAACATTCAGGCATATGACTAAATTTATGCTCTTTGTTCTCTCTGTAAGTTGTAGTTTCTCGTCTCAGATATGTTCCTCTAATATAGAAGCATGATGAAAACAGAAGTAACCTGAATGGAAGTATAAGCAGGAATGGCAAAGTGCCAGCAATCCCTAGAACACAAATCTGCAGGCAGCTAAATGAGGTTTGTTTCATTACACTCTTTGCATTGTGTAATATGGTTTATGTAATTTGAGAAGGATGTTGCTCCTTATCAAGGTTATTACTCCTAATTACCACTTTCCAAAATGTGACCAAAGCTTTGTAGCTGGCTGGCTTTGAATAGGAAAAACAGCAACAGTGCTCTGTAGCATTTTGAGGGGTTCTTGGGTAGCGCGTTTACATGTGGACTGCATCTGCTTGATGCTTCCCTTAGCTTTGCCTCCGAACAGGAATAATACGAGTCCCTCAAAATGAGCATGGAGCCTCATGGGTTTCAGGCAAGATTGACTGATGATAACACATGTGGTTTTCATGCTCCCTGCCCCCATTTCCATTGAGGTTGAAACTATAGGATCTAAAATAGTGCTTTCAATCCCATCTCAAACTATCTTAAAATTTGATGGAATTGGCTCAGAGTGTTACAGCCTGTGTCTGTGTGTTTATAAGCAAGTAAACAGACGTAATAGAAACCTGAGTACCTGCAGCGTAGGCAGGCATAGAATAAGGCATGAAATGTTTGCCATGCAAGTGTGTAGTATGCCATGGGTCAGTGATAGTAGAAAGTTGACTGTTCTGAGTCTGTTTGTGTCCTGGGTCTTTCAGCATGCTGTGTTTGTCGTTCTGTTCCCACAGATTACTGGTTTGCAGTGACATATGTAAGAAATGAGTTAAAGTAAACAAGTAGTTTCCACACCTGCCTTTTCAGAAAGGAAGACAGAAATATAGTGTAAATATTAGTATTGAAAGAACTGCAAGCATCCCAGATAGAGTTTGTCAATATTGCACCCCTACCTGTGTTGTTGACTTGTGGGTTGAACTCAAATCTGAACTGACTCTTAGGGTTTGTTTAGAAAGTCTGGATAAAAGGAAAACGGAGCCTGTAATAACATGCCATGATCTTACTGACATCTTACAGACTCCACACCTAGTTCTTGATTCGCAAGAGCTTTGCAAGAGCAGTAACGTGTACATGTGGTGTGAAGAGAAGAGAAAGCAATGCCACTTCTCAAAAGCAGCGCGTGCCTTCAGCCTGTTGCTGTTGTACAGCAGGTCTTTGAACTAGCTGCAAAGCTGTGGGTGTAGTGGGAAAGTTTATTTCTGCTTCCTGTACTGTTTTGAGGAGATTAACTAATCCTGTCACATTTCTTCTGAGTTGTATTTTCTAAGACATTCCAGATTTTCAAAATAAATTTATATTACTACTATTATAGTTAATAACGTGAGGCCTTTGTGACACCAATTCAGCCCTCTGGCAGATTATTAGAGGAGCACAGACTGCCTGCATCGCTACATCAAGCAATGCGATCCTGAAGTGTGGTAGTGTGGCTCATAGCTGATGCATAGTAGGATGAACAATGTATCTGCTCCCAGTTTCAACTTCACTCTTGCATAAGTCTTGGATCACTTTCCACTGAATGCCAAAGGGGTTACCGTGTGGTTTGCTTGTGTCCAGAATAAGCAATACTACCTGAGAGCATTAACTTCCTGCATTTTAAACCCATGCGGGTGATCACTTAATACATTAAGCATCCTCTAATTTTATTCCCTGTATCTTATTTTGTATTGCAGAGGAGGTGAAGAATTCTGCAATAAAAATTCAAGAGGGTATACAAAACCTTTTCAAAAGCTCAATCCAAAACTAAGCTATGTAAACCAAACTAAAAAAGTGATATTTTAAACTGCATATATCAGTTCATATGATACTTATCAATACAAGAATCTGAAATTGTTTCATTAAAGCAGCACATTAGTTTGAAATGTAATCTTTCCACACCAATTCCAAAAAATTTGGTAAGAGTTGTTGTTGATACCTGCCAGAGAGGTTACAAGACCACGGAAACTTGAGCACCCGGAAATGGATTTGTCCCTGCACATAAAACCTGGTGATTGATTCAGACCACGTCTAGCACTTCTCCGCTGGTACATTTTCTCCAAGGTTATTTGCAGGTGACACTTCTTGTATTCTACTGGTCTAGGCTGCCAGTGAACTTGAGGGAGATTTGGATTGCATCTTAGCAGATTCCTGTCCTCACCTTCTGTTCAGCACGATCTATTCCACTTCTATCCTGGGTGTAATTGTGCAGTATCTCCAGCAAAACATCAGGGAAATATTTAGTTAGAAATATCAGATGGGAATGACTCTCAGAAAGGTGTGAGGCCAGGCCTTCTCTTTATGCCAGGGCAGGATCAGCTTTACCCAAACTGTTCCTTGTAGTTGTTTAACCTTTCATAAAAGACTTGAAGTAGTGGACAGTCTTCAATCTTTGAATGCATCTACTGCTTCTCTGACTTCATGCTAGGGAATGTCTGCCTGAAGGCATAATCAAAATTCACATGCTGCAATTTGCACTCATATTTTTTTCTTGTTTCAGCAGCCACAGTATATTTCCTTCACTGTTACCCTTTTATTCTAGATTTGAATATGCTTTTAGATCGTTTCTTGCCTAGACAAAACCTTGCTGTTGTGATTTTACCTTTTTTTTTTTTTTTTTTTAAGTTATTCCAGAAGTTTAATGCTTAAAATTAGTTGCAATACTTGAAACAGATGCTGCATTCCATTGCAGTCAATGGAATGGCTGCTTATCCTGCCACACAGAAACTAAGTGTACAATTAAAAGTTGGTTTGCTTTTATGGAGGAAGGTTAAAAGTTGCCACCCTTTGGCTGAGTTGTATGAAGTGCTGCTGTGTCTACTCCCAGTTATGCTGCAATTGCAAGAGAAAAGCAGGTTTGCAGGATCGATCGTCTGCTCAGCATTAGTCTCACTGTGTGTGCAGTCAGACTGTCGGGGATCGAGAAGGCAAGAGCCAGGGCAAGCTGAGGAGCATAAGCAGCAAGGACTCCTTGTGACCTGTGTTACCATATATGAACCATACCCAGCTGGCTGCTGGGACTACAGCTGATGGTCCCTGAGTACTAGTCCTAAAAGCACAGCTCTTGGTTTTACTTAAATGTGATTCAGTAAGTAAGATTCTCAGTGAGTTGTGCAGTTTGGGATGCCCCATAGCTCATGTGGTCCTTCCCACCATCCTCAGGGCAGCCGCTTTTGGGGTGCCACTTGCAGCAGCTGCTCATCTATTGTGAGAAAAAATTAGTGTTTTAATCATCTTCAAAATGTTAGTTATTGGCTTTAGGAAGGATGCTTTATATGTTCTTCGTTCCCAAACACATTCTCCATTCCCCAGTTTCGTGCATGTGTTTGCCTGTGACTTGTTCTTGATTCCTGAAGCACAGTGCTCTGGTCTCAGCTGAGAAGTGGAGATAACTTCACATTAGCCCTCTCAAGGCTGTTCCGTTGGGCTGCACTGCTGTATCCCTGACTGGGGCCAGGTACAACTAACCTTCCTGTGGTGAAGTTGGTGTGTAGTGCAGGGCCCGTGTCCTGTGTCAGTGGTAGGTGTGAGGAGAAGCCGCTATGCGACCGGCTCT